GTTGATTAGAATTATCATGCAATTGCTAGATAATGCTGCATCAAGATAGTTCAGTGCCAGATGGGAATTTTAATGACATGAGAATTGTTTGATTGAAGATGTAATGCTCTTATATGTATTACATATTGGAAATTGCTACTTTCCCCTACTTCTAAAGATATATATAGAAGTATATATGCTTTCTGTGCCAGTTCTTCCAAAGCAAATGCTGAAGACTTGGTATTACTTCTTTTGCAGGTAACTAGGACAAACTGTAGAGGGCAAGTTTTTATTGCATAAATTTATCCCTTCATGTTGTGTATATGGATATTCACTCTTAAACCTTTGCTGACTAGCTTTGGCTTTGTTGAACAATGGTTAAGAGACCCATCAATGAAGTCACTTATTATGGTATTTGGAAGTATATTATGAAGATAAAATGATACATAAATTCAGATTGGCATTATATGCATAACACCCCTATTGGATCTGCTTAATTCAAATATTTTTAATCTTATTTTGCTGTAATACAGAAATTATATATTGGATTTAGCTATCAGACAAAACAATGAGATACTCATGATTTTGAATTGAGCTGTCTGAGTCTTAAACATATTTTCATTGTACGGAAGTATGTGTAGGTTTGGAGTAAAAAAAAAAAGATTTTGAGTGGCTTCATCTATTAGTAGATGTTCCTTGTGGGATAATCATTGTCTGCACCAGAAAAAAACTATATAGTAATTTAAAAGATATTTAAATATACCAAAGGACATTCATTAAGAAAATTAATTCAATAGTAATTTTAATTGTGGAATGTCCAGTATAACATCCTATTTATCACCAGGTGAAAGTAAAAGAGAATATTTAATATTCTATTTATACATGATTACTAATGGGTTTGAATATTGGTTTGACCAGTGCACTTTGTCATTGTATTTAGCAGGTATTTTTGCAAATAAAAAGGTACACAAATCACTGAATGAAAATTGACCCTGCTACGATGCTTACAGGAACAGTAGAAGTGCAAGAACAGGCAGTTGTGTCCATTAGCTACAGGCGATGGTCCAGTGTTCAGCTTCTTCATCACCAGCACTGCTTTCATTCCTCACCCAGACACAAGAGGTTTTCACAAGACCTTGAAAAGACATCATCTAAAAAAGTCAGCAGGTAAAGTCAGGAAAGCAATCAGGGTTACATTTTTGCATGTTTGGTAAGACCGATATATATATATATATATATATATATATATATATATATATATATATATATATATATATATATATATATATATATATATATATATATATATACACATACATACATACATACATACATACATACATACATACATACGCATACGTACGTACGTGTGTGTGTGTGTGTGTGTGTGTGTATATGTGTTTATGTTTTTGAGTTTCTATGTTTTTGTATATTTCTGTGTGTGTGTGTTTATGCTTAAAGGTTTCTGTTTTCATTAATGTGCATGTGTTTTTATTTGTGTTTATTTTCATAATCTGATTAATTAGTTTATTTTGCCATTATTTACCCTGGTCAGTGTTATGTATTGAACATGATAAAAGATGATTGATAAGTATGTTAACCCAGTGCCGACAGGCATGGCATGTATGTATATGCCATGCTTACTGTTAGTTTACTTTATTAATTGTTTTAACACATAGATGGCTACACTTGCACTAAGACACCAATAAGCCAATTACAAGTACTGCCTGTCTCACTCGTTTACCCATTTCAATATTCATAGCATAAAAAAGTAAATTTTTCCTGCCAATTCAAGGAATGGTGAAATTAGGTAAGGTTTACTAATTGACTCTGAGAGCCATCTATGTGCAGAGACATTTCACTAAAATGTAAAACATGAGCACAACGTTTTCCCAATTTTTTTATTCATTTTCCCGAGCGGCATGTGGTTAAACTAACTTATCTCTTTGTCACTGTTATTTTCTTTTATGTGCATTTATCCACTGCAGGTCTGCTGTAAGTGTTGAACCAACTCATGTTGAAATTACTGATGAATGTGGAGGCCAGCACCGTCTCAATCTCAGCATCTTGGCCACAGATGATACCTGGGGGGCTCCCTCTCTGCTCTCAGCCAGGCTTCATGGAGGGAATGGCAAGGCGGTTTTCTCACAGGTGCTGCCATCTTTTTTGTTGACAGATTTCTGAGTATGCTAGATACATAGTAAGAGGAAAAGCTAAAGTAAACTTGGTGTCCTATGACCTTCTCCACAGTTAGATATTTTGAGGTAATTAGTTTTTTTTATGATTATTTTTCCTTTAATGTTAGGGCCTCATTTGTTGATTCTGTTTGTTTTACGGATGTAAGGGTATTAGATTTAGTTAAATGTGTAATACTATCTCTATCTTAACATTCTCTTATCAGACACTCAAGACAACATCAATAGGTCGCTTGGTGATTTACTGTGATGTAATGACCTCCAGTATGAAGGTAACAGCTGGACATCCCCCGCTTATTCATGGCATTACAGTAGTGCCAACACAGCAGACACAGGGTAAAGGTATGTAGGCAAAAGTAATTTAGTAAAAGTAATGCATTTCAATTCTTGAAGTTTTTTGAATGAGTATAAAAAAAGAAATGTAATTGATTTTATGATTCACATGGTAAACAGGGACATCTGTTTACCAAATAATGCATGGTGTATTTACCATATTTGTAATGGCCTTAATATCACATCAGGTCGAAGTGGGAATGCTTGGTTGTCACCGCTAGGATGTGCTATGTTTACCACACAGCTCCACATCCCCCTCTCATCAAACTTGGGACAACATCTCCCATTCCTGCAGCATCTCGTTGCCATTGCAATAGTGCAAGCTGTGCGAGAGTACCCAGGATATGGTGACATACCTTTGAACCTGAAGTGGCCCAATGATATTTATATTGGTGGTGACACTAAAGTTGGAGGTGTGATTGTAGAAGCCACCACAATTGGAAAAGAAGTTATTGCTAATGTTGGTATGTATGTCTCTGTCATTTTTCTGCTAAATCATTTGAGGACAAGCAGGTAATGGGTGCAGTTGAAAGCATTCCCTTAAATAAGATGCCTTTGAACCTTTAAACTTAAAACTTTAAATATTGGCCGAGTGACAAGGTGTGTGCAGTTGTGAAAAATTCAACTGAGGGCCAGGGTGATCGGATTAACTTGTAATGAATGCACAAAGAGCATGGAGGATGATTAGACTTAGTAGGCATCTCTTGGATGATTTCCACTAGTAAACAAGGGTGGAATGTACCATCTGTGAGATGGATAAGCAGTGGCACAGAATGTTTTGCAGAGGATTAAAAAATAATGATAATAGAAAAAAAAAATCTCTGTTACTTAATGCTGTTATTACTACACTAATAATTTTGAGTCTGATCAAGGAAAACAGTCTATTACTATCTTGATAGAGCATTTTATGTATATATATATATATATATTTATTTATTTATTTATTTATTTATTTATTTATTTATAAATATTTATATATATATTTATTTATTTATATATATTTATATATTTACAGATATTTATATATATATGCATACATATATATATTTATATACATATATATATGTACACACACACGCACACAAAATCAAGTTATCAAACAGTAGTCCTACATACTGTATCAAAAATTCTGTCTAAAAGGGTATTTACATTACACTTCCCTTACAGGAACAGTGCATACTTACCCCATAAAAGTCTTTTGAAGACTCTTTCCTAGCCATTGGGAATGAAGTGTTGATAACATATGATTATTTTATATCCACAAATTTACATATTCAATTTGCTTCCTTTTCTAGGGTGTGGTATCAACTTGTCAAACAGTAATCCCACGTACTGTATCAACGATGCTGTCCGTCAACACAACAAGGAGCACAAGACTTCGCTTCCTGAGATTGATCGAGAGACATTCCTGGCAAGAATATTCAATCATTTTGAGGGCCTTATAGACACTTTCCAAAAAGATGGGCCAGAGGCAGTCTGTCCCATTTATTACAAGTATTGGTTGCATAGGTAAGAACTTGACCTAAGACATTTTCATCTTTACTAATGCATTTTATAGTTTTTTTTGTTTTTTTTTTTTTTTCCAGGTGCACTTAGAGAGAGACCCACAAGAATGCGTTGGGGCATCAGTTGTCCCATCCAAGCTTTCTGTCAGTAATGAGGCACGATTAGAGATTTTAAGGGACCTTCTGAATACAGAGCTTAGTATGGATACCACAGGGAGCAGTTCTTCCTGTGTTTACACTTCAGCCTATTTCCTAGGAAGACATGAGGTAAGGATCACCAAAAGCTACAGTGCTTGAACTGTTATTGTGATTCTGTTCCTGGATTTTGTTTATTTTCCCTTACTTTTGTGAGTCATACGTGTAAACTGGTTTGTGTCTAACACTGAATTGAGGTTAGTCCCTCTACCACAGTAGGATGTTGCTTGGTATTTCATTAATAATCCCCTTTGCTTTGGCCTGTTATCCTTCATTCCATTATCTTTTAGGTCCAGGTGATGTAGGTAAGCACATAATTCATGCTTTGTGAAGTTTGATTAAAGATGTAATTATTTAGTTATATATAATATTCAACATTATACTCTTAGTCCCTTGGAGTGGGTCCTTTGTCTGTAGTGAAAAAATCCCTAGGTATATTGGTAGTGTGTCCATATAAGTTTTGCTGTTACTCCTGCAGTCTGTGTATTGTGTCATTGTGACCCTTTATAGTGTACTGAAAATCTCATCTGGTTTAATTAAGGTGTACTAAACACTATTGATCATGTAATATTTTTGTTTGTTATATGCTTCACTTCACTTCCACTAGTCATTATAGCCTCTGGATCCTTATCCATAAACTCATGTTACATAATCTGTTTCAACTGATGTAACTGCCATAGCCTACCTGGCCTGTACATTTTGACAAAGCTCTTCTTCTCCACAGTTGAAGCAAGACCTCCTGAACAGATTACAGCCACACCTTGAAAAGCAAGAGTTGAAAAGGCCCCAGTTA